AGGAGGAGAGAGAAAGTGAAACAGAGCGAGCCTGCGTCTCCCTCTCAGACAGAGGAAGTGTGTGCCCCCCCCCTCCCTCTCCTCCAGCCCCTCCCTCCTTGCGTCAGCAGCAGTTAAAATGTCGGCCGTGTAGCTCGTCCTCCGCCTGCTTCCTATCTCTCCTCACCATCTGGCTCTTCTTACCACAGGAGGAAAGCAGACGTCTCTTTTTGTTATCTTCCCAATCCTCTTTCTTTCTCTCTGAATGAAGGCAGCCGCTGCCTCGCCCTGCTGAGGAGGTTTGGAGATGGAGGAGAACGGTAATGTTTCAGACTCTGTCCTCCGTCTTTGCTCAGGCTACAACTTTGCTTTAGAGATGAAGCTGTGAGGCTAATGAAATGGAGGGCAGCAGCTCCCAGCCTGTGGCCGGTCAGTCGGCCGGTCAGTCGGTCGGTCAGAGGAGGAGAAGCTCTGGGGGAGATGGCGTTAGGCTGCTTTCTGTAGGGACAGCCTTCATCTGCTCTACGAACAGGACATTTCAGATCAGAAACACAGACCAGCTGCCTCAGGTTCATCATTTTCTCCAAACCAGGGGTCCTCTCTTCCATTGGAGGGTTTAGCGTATTCATTTCTCTGATGCAGTTTTTTTACTTAATCAGAGACTCAGGTCTTGATTAGGGCTGTTTTTGTTCTGACCTGTTTTTCTGCCTACCGTCCGGTGTATGTTCCTCAGTTCCTCAGGCCTGAACGGGCTTTCAGTGGTGACCCTTCAGATGGTCAGAAACAGGAGGCTGTATCCATCATGTGATCTGTGAACCAGCTCAGTTAGACGCTCTGAACCGGAGCTTTGTCTTTTAGGCAGCAGACCTCAAAACGACACGCAGCATTGAAATCAGATTTCTTACTCAAGGTTGTTTTGGTTTTGAGTAGTGGTGTAATTTCTCCTGAAACTCATTTTGCTTTCTGAGGAAGTTCGTATAAAACTTAGATCCGTGCTAAATGCATAAATTCATAAAAGTTTGGTTGTCTTACTATCAAATAACCAGCTTGTCATCATGGGCTGTGTATAACACCAATCGTTGTTGGATTTCACCATAAAACTTAATACTTTGAATTAGAATCCCGTTTCAGTCTTATTGTTTTTTTCTTTTATTTCGTACTTGAATTAAGTTTCCTGTGGCTCCCTGAGATAAACTAGATATATGTCCTACAGGGGTGTATATCTAATAGTTGGTTATTTAGTACATAAGAATTTGGGAAAAACACCAACTGTTGAGGATTTTATCATCACACCCTTTGAAGGTTTCTTTTCTCACTTATTGAAAATCTTGTCTGAGCTTTGATGAAATGACTGAAAACAGTCTTGAGTCCAGCAGTACAGACGTCATGTTGTCTGTTGAACTAATCTTTCCTTTGCTTTGGTCCCATTTGTCCGGGCTGTAGGTTGATCCCACAGCCCCTGGAGGCAGCGGCTGTGGGAACAACCCAGCTGAAGGCGGGCGGTTCCCAGCTAAAATAACTAATCTGGGTGGTAATGCGATGCCCTGATGTCATGATTCAGATCAGACCTCCAGCAGTGTTGATAGTGATATGAGCGGGAGGCGTAGTTAATAATAACTGGAGCAGGTGGAGCCCGGGCCACGCCCAGATTAACAGGGTCTGCTTTAGATGTTTGGGGACGATGTGAATGTGACATTGTTGGGAGGCTGCTGACCAGCGGTCCTAGTGAGAGGGGACCTGTTGGTATCTGCACTAAAGGAGAAACAGCCTCTGGGTTCTGATGGAGAGCAGAGCTCAGACACAACAGCAGAATGAGAATGGGATGGTCCTAACATGGTGGAGGCTGACCTGACATGGAAATGGACATGTACATGCACTTATAAGCGCTTGTCTGCTAGAGCAGTGGTGCCCAATCCCTGGTCCGTGGACCGGTACTAGGCAGCTGGCTCGGGGCCGCCGGACGCCAATAATGAATTTTTCCGTTGTATTTATTCTCCGAGTCTGAACAATCTTTTATTTTGGAAAAAATGACCGGATTCTCTCGGTTACATCTCGACCACTTGAGCGCCAAACATTTAGCCCACAAGTTAGAAAAACGAGTAGAAAACAGACGTCTTTGGAAAGTTTCTTTTGGAAGACAAAAAGGCCCAAAGAAGAGACGGAGGAAGAGCCGACGACTCCGGAGAAAATAAAGCTTTTAACAGACAATACCAGGAGTTCTCCTGGAAACATGGATGTATTCCCACAGACTGAGGCCACTCTGAGTAATGTAGATATGATATATAGTTATAATATACACGGTGAGCGGCTCTCTGATGACGCAATGAAGCTTCAAAACAGCTTCACATCCGGATTAAAAGAAAAGCCCCTGCAGGATTTTGGCTGCAGGGGCTTGTCCACAGTGATAAAAAGGTTGGAGACCACTGTGCTACAGGATGTGAATGCACTCCATACAGTTCCTAGAGGATGATGCTGGGGGGCTGTGGGAGTGGGAGTGACTGCAGAGATCCCAGAGATGTATGAGACTCCCCCCACAGATCCAGACTCCACAGATCCAGGAGGTGCTGGAGGAGAGGGAGGAGGAGCACAGGACTACGGGAAGTGAGGAGATCCAGTTAGTGACATCATTAATGGAATGAGGCTGCACTGAGAGGGAGAAAGGAGACAGAGGACAGGGGCATCATGGGAAATCCCCCGGCAGACTGTGAGCGTGTACAGCGGGCTGCCATTTGAACATTGATAAGCTATCAGAGACAGGATGAATACAGCTGATGGGTCTGAAGTCCCAGAGAGAAACAGTGCAGCTTTTAGGGCCACATGCTCACTCAAGACTATCAGACTGTTTTCATGTGTTGTTCCAAGATGGAGGAAGGAGCTACCAGGTGCTACAAGAACCTTTTTATCTTTAGGAAACTCCTCCAGACCCGCCTCAGTCACCTGATGCTGGAAGTCTGAATGTTCTGCTGCTTTCATTCTGAGTTTCTGGAAATTATCAGGACTTTATTGAGTTACAGTGGGCTGAAGGTTTGTGGAGTGAGGGGGGGAAGTATTCCAACTTATGGGGGAATTTTGTTCCAAAAGAAAGTGTTTTTTGAGGATTGAGAACTAAATTCTTGACGACTGAATTTTACCACTGAGCTGGAGATTCTGTTACCCTGGCTTGGTTGGACGACCATATTTTGATTTCCAAAAAGGAGGAACTCTGCCTCCAGACGGATCCAAACAGGCTTCTTAGATGTTCATGAACAGGCTTTAATAGACCTCAATGGTACAAAAATAACTTTGGTAGTAAAACACAACCAGTAATTAAATGATAGCCCTCTTTTAAAATACATGAATAAAATCAAATAATGTTATAGATATATGACCTCTTCTCTATTAGAAAATACAGCTTCAACTAAACACCTCTGAATCCCCTCTGAATGGAAGAAAGGAAACAGTCTCAAGATACAAATTCAACTAACAAGGATTTACACTAAGTTTAGATCCTTTTTGTATCTATACACTAAGTTTAGATCCTTTTTGTCCCACTTTTGTTGCCGTTCATCTGTGAAGCTGCACTTTGGTTTTGTGCATTTTGTCTCCAGTGCTGGTTGCTCTGCTCTCTGTGTGTGTGTGCCTGTGTCTGTGTGTGTGTGGCAGGGAACGAAGTACCGTAGGATTCTGTGCAAAGCGCCAGTCAATTTGAGCACTTTTAAGCATTCTGGTCCCATGAAAAACAGTGAACACTGTAAAAAAAAAAAAAAAAAAAAGACATTTTCATGAATTTATAACCCCTCCTGGACAGGATGTAAACAGTGGACATGTCCGGGCAGAAGAGGACGTTTGTTCACCCCAGGCTAGGAGCTCCTCTCTCAGTATGAATCATTCACACACTGTGGCACACTGACAGCAGAGTTCATTGTAGGGCTGTCACCATACTAAAATGTTCAACTCCATACCCATACTCAGGAAAATATTCAATACAATTCTCAATACATAATATAATAGGATAAAAACAAAGACCCCAAAATTTAACAGAAATATTTTTTATTAGTAAATAAAATACAATAAATAAATACAATAAACAATAAGAGCAGTATTTTGAGGTTGTAAACTGTGTACAACATTAAGCAAGCTTATTTAAAAAACAAAACAAAATTAACTTAGCTGTTCCTTCCTTGGCTATGCTTTATACACAACAATGACACTAGCCAAACCAGTAAACAAACAAATAAATGCTGCACCTGTTACAAAATAAGTCTGAAGCTGAAAAGTGCACAGAATGATTCAATCACACAGAAAGTGCACTTTCCTCTATTCTGCAGTCTGGATGAAGGAGTGTTTAGGGGCCACTGGTGGCAGCGCTGGCCTGAGTTAGATAGATGGTCGACTGAGTGTGATGGTGTTTGGACGCAGGTCTGCTTCTCTCTGCTTCGTTCTGTGACTTCAGGAGAGAAAATGGGGCTGAATAAGGCTGAGCTCAGGCTGACACACATCAGCGGTGTGTGAAAGTGTCAGACAGACAGCATCACAGCAGTCTGGAGCCTCTCACCTGCCTCTTCTCCAGTACTCTTCTTTTTTTTTTCCTCCACTCACCATTCGCTGCCTTTCTTGTCTTGTTTTTATTTCTGACATTTTAGCGATGTAATCGTGTCACACAGGATCTTACAGCTTTTTGGAAGCTGATGGTTTAGGCCTTAGGAAAAGTCTGATCTGAGATGCTCTCCTGTGCTTTCAGGCCTTTAAGCCGGTGGTGGGGAAGAACCTGTTGTTGTCAGTAACAGCAGTGGAATTCCTGTTGGACCGGCAGCTGGACTTCCTGACTGACCTCTCAGCCTACCAGCCGTACCAGGTAACGTCTGTG